TTATGGCAAAGCTTTTTGTGGATAAATGATCATGATGCACATCAAATTCTGCTTTACACCAAACTTGATTATGCAGGGCTATCACAGATACATTTATGGCAAAGCTATTGACAACAGAAAACTAGAGTGATGAGAAAAGCGTTTTAAAAAGTATGAGGCTATTGCTGAGACTGTTAACAGTTGTTTTTGTGTTGTTTTTTTGCGAAAGGAATAGACGCTAGTTATATTGCTGGAAACTGGATTTCTGATTCAAGTGAGGGTTCTGGTTTTGGATCTTGTGATGTACTTGATAATCAGCCAGATTTAGGTTTTATTAAGTCAAATAACATTATTAGATGTTTGTTCAATGCAAGCCAGTATTTCAATCAGCGAACATAAAAGTGCCAACATCATCTGATCCCCCACTGTAAACGAGTCGATATTATAACGTGCTGGTATGGATTACCCGTGTGTCTCATGATGCCACAGTTGATACTTTTTTTTTCTTTTTCAAATAACTGATGCGTGTGTGTTTGTATTTTTATAACAAAGCCACATCGGGCTATCTGCTGTGTCCACCGGGGGGAATCGAACTCCTGATTTTTAGCTTTGTACAACTGTCCCACCGGGAGACAGTAAGTGATGCTATCTATAAAAAAAAACAAAAAACTGCTTTCCACAGCCTATGATATTATATTCCTAACTTCTCGCGGAAGACTAAATACCCCAAAATACCAAGTGCTTAGCATGACTGTCCATTATATACCTGGATCTTCAGCATTAACAGGTACACTGAATAATCTGGACAGTGCACATCTCATTCCTTAGTTTGGACACTGCTTGTCCATTGCTCAACTTAACAAGGGCACAGTAATACCAACAAGTGTCCAGAAAGGAACATTTACTATACAACGATATGTGAAAATAATGACTTTTACGAAGAGGCAATGTCTGGAAAATGTACGAGCCCACAATACAAATATAATTATAATTCAGAGAGGATCCAATGAAAATCAAAATAACTACGAAATTAGAACAGCTTCGATCTGCAATGAAGGGAGAGAAAAAAAAGCCCCAAAAAACCAGCAGTATCACAACCAGCCAATTGTATTCAGCCAAATATTAGAAAGCAGAAAAATCAAGGACCAAAATATATGCATTGTAATATCAGCAGAATACAAGAAGTTTTGGCCAGCTTGCCTAATGATGAAAATTATACATGTGATAATTGTTCAGATAATTCTTTCGATAACATATATATATATATAAATATATATTTCGACACTGGTTAAAAAGAGGAGTTATCCTACGACTCTGATTGACCAGTATATCACTCATTTTCAATTTTAGCAAACGTACCCCTAAATTAACTATTCGTTCCATGTTTCCATCGTATTAATACTATATTTTACATTAATTGAACTTTAATATTCTGTTGCATGGTAAACGTAGTTACGAAATGAACTATAGTTTTGATTTCAAATAAATTTTCGATTAAATCTTTCCAGACAAAATTCATGCATTGATATATTTTAATTCTACGACTACTGTTGGACAGAAAAGTTTCCACTGAATCTAACGACACCTTATCTTAAAGAGTTTTTCCATAAAATAATCCAAATATAACTTTTGAAAACTCTTTACCTCTTTCTGTTTATTACAGCGAAGTACATGAATACCACAATTTTAATAAGGTTATGAGACAAAATAATGGGTAAATATATCGCTGGGAACATTTCATTTTGTAAATCGGCATACGTCAAAGGTACTATGATCAAACTTACAGATTGCCAAACCGGACTTGCACGAAATTTATTTTCTGTTGTTGTTGTTTTCTAATGGGCCCACGGCTTATTAGTGATGTGATATCCAGGCAGTTCGAGTTATTATAAAAAGAGCCTAACTATCAGTAAGTTTAGTGCGCAAGGAGGTACTGGGTTCAATACCTATTTCAAAACGTTGAATTAACACAGAAATGTTGGGTGTTTAAATTTTTAATTCAGATTGTAGAGCGCTTGTTTAATGTGCCTGAGGTAGTAGGTTCAATTTAACACGTTAGTTCTAAAGTTTAAAGCATGAATGACAGAAACAGCACAATGATCCACGCTCTCAGCTTTTAACCCAGTAAAAAAGGGTGGGGAGAAAAACGTATACGACGGTGTAATCAAGGCATCAACAAATAAATATTAACCCCAACTGCTATTTCATCGCTTTGTTACAGTACTATTACATATCTCAGTAAAGAAATATTTAAAAAGTCACATTGTAATGATGTTTCATCCAACGTGTGTTTACTCATTTCAGTTAATCAAAATGTTTTGTATCACATAAACTTTAGAAAAGTAGGGCTGCCAAAAATATGTCTGTTGTGTTATTTAATTCTTTAATATTACATTTTCGAAACCAAAACAACAAAACAAAATCAAGTAAAAGTTTTAAAGCACTTGAAATCTGGTTCAGTTGTGGTTTTAGTGTTTTTAATCACCAAACTTTCCTTGATTCTTCGCTGATATTCGATAAACCGATGATAGAGAATTGAGCTGCTGTTATATTCTGCACACAATTATTCCACGCATGTTAGGCTATGCTGGAACTTCCCTTGTTTCTGTCGTGAGAGTGTTCTCTTATCCGCTCATTAAGACGTCCTAGAGATAATAATAATAATATATATGTATCTATTCACGCA